TTGCCTTGAAACTAAACATTTCCCAGGCAGGGTGATACACACCTGTAATTCCAGCAGGACAATCAAAAGTCCGAGGTCAACCTGGGCTACACAGTGAGATCCTGTCTTTAAAAAAAAAAAGAAAAGAAAAGAAAGGAGACAGGAGATAAAAGAAAATAATGATCTATTTCATAAAATAAGAAAAAGGAAGTCTTGCCCAGCAAAGTCAAAGCGAGCATGGAATGGTTAAGTTGGCTACTGCATAACCATGGTAGCAGATGTAGCTAATTTAGGACACAAATGAGGGTGTTGGAAAGAGCGAAGAGAAACCTTGGCGTTCAGAGGGAAAGAGAATTCTAAATAAAGGGATGCTGAGATAATCAGTATGGATGCTCTGCCATCTGACACAGTGAAGAGGAAAGAACTGAAACCGCCCTAGCTTCTCCTGTGTCTTTTGACTGTAGGTTTTTTTTTTAAAGTAAACAACAAATCCTTATGGGGGCCTTGTGCCAAGTAAAGAAAACAAACATGAGGAAATTCACATTCAATAAAATAACACAGATGGAAAGCTATGTCCATTGTCAATGTAATTCTGTCTTCCTAAAGTCCCCATTGCATCTCAAAGTTCAATAACTTCATTTGTTCTTCCATAAAAACAATCTGTCAGTGACATTCAAATGCACTTGAATGGATTTTCCCTTCAATAAAACAGTTCACTATTGAACACCAGCATTTAACCACTCTTTCAAAATTCTACAGAAAAGTACCAAAAGAGTGTGAAAATAGGAACAAATTCGCTTCGCTCTGGGTTACCAGGAGCTGCCATCCACGCACAGGAACTGTGGAGATCTGCATCTTTGCAACATGGCCCTCCCCACACAGAAACATGACATTCTATTCCTTCAGTGTATAAAGAAGTTAGTACTTTCTGTGAAAAAAAAAATGTCCTTTTCATTAAGAACTTCACATGTTGGGATTCAATGAGGCAGCGTCCTTATGGTTTTAAATCTTTCCTTCCCTTTGATCAGATGTTGTTTCCAGCATGGTGAATTTTTTTTCCTATATTAATTAGTATTGCTGGAAGTTTGTCTATTTCACTGACTCTTTGCAAGAACCAACTTACTAGACAAAAGCTATGGGAGGACACACAATGGGGAAATGGGCTCATGAGAGATGCTGAAACAGAGCAGGCCTCCAGAGGATGTAGTGCCCAGCCCACCTCCCAGTGGAGTGGAGAGGAAGAAGAAGGAAGGCGGTAGTGGTAGACAAGTTCTAGCTTTATCCTGAGAGTAGAGGAATGATAAAACTCCATTTCTGTTTCAGAAAGATCAACTATAGACGGCAGCGGGAGGTCAGATTAGAAGCAGGGAAAAGAGGAGGGCATTTGAGTACTTTAGATTCCAGCCAGAAATCGTGCAGCTGAATGAAATAGAGTCCCAGGCAAATGAGCCCATGTGGTATGGAGGAACAAGCTCACCTACATGGGGATCAAAGTCTAGCGGGGTCTCAACGAAGCTACTAGAATTGGAATCATTATGTCAAAATGCTTGTCATGTTATCTTGGTCTTAAGGTACTTTTATTGGGGAGTTACTTGATCAGCATTAAATGGAAATATAATCCAGTTATGGCTAAAACCAACAACAGCGATTTACTCATTACATTCTTACTACAATACCTGCTGCTAATAAATTGCTGCAACTTGGTCTAAAGGAAAGTCGAATTGGCAGGAGTTCCTCATTCTCTGCCAACACAGCAGTGGTCATCAGGAACTGTTCTTTTGAGTTTGGCAAGCCTATGCCCTTTACAGATCAACCTCTAGCTCCCAAATTCAAACTTCCGGCCCTTCATCTATGCTGTGACCAACACACCAGACCTGCCCCTGGCTCAACTCAAAAGACAGAAGCAAGCTCAGGCCCCAATATCACTATGTGGCTTACCTTCAAGATGATCCAGAGCATATTTTTATTATTGCTGGAATAAAGCTATGCATTTTAGAGAATATAAGATCACTTAAAATACTTGTACCCTTAAGAGTGTGAGAAACCCATGGTGCAGTATCATGAGCTTATTCCCAGGGACACTACAAATTTAAAGGGGTGATACACACCATATCTGGTAAGATCCCTAAAGACTTTACCTCAAACACAGCATTTGAGAGATCCTGTCTGGTCTTAGAATCCTAAGAACTATTGTGGTTCTCTAAAGCTTTTATGCTTTTATATTATTCCGCATATGTGATGTTTTATGTTGTTTTTCCTACAATAAATCTGATCATAATTTATATTTTTTTATTTCGAGAGGGTTTTCTGTTTATTGTGGCTGTTTTGGGTTGTTTTTGGTAGTGGGGTTTGAATTCATGGTTTCATGCTTGATTGGCAGGCATTTCATTACTTGAGCCATGTCTTTAGCCCTTTTTTGTTTCAGATAGGGGTTTGTTTTTTGCCAGAAGAGTATCTGGACTGTATCTTCCTATTTATGCTCTCTGTAGTAGCTTGGGTGACAGTCATGAAACATCTTTTTTTGTTGTTGATAACATGAGGTTTTACCAGCTTTTTTGCCTTGTCTAGCTTCAAACCAAGATCTCCCCAACTAGCTAGGGTCAGAGGGGTGAGCTACCAGTACCCAGTTAAGAAATGACTTAATATCTATTTCTTGCATTTACCATTAAATGTCATTAGGGCAGAGACCCTGTCTACCCGTTACTTCTTTGTTCTCAGAACTTCTCACAGAACCTGGCACATAATAGGTTCTCACTGACTATTGAGTGAACAAGTGAGTTAAAGAATAAAATGAAGGAGCCATGGATTGGTCAATTACCTTTCTGCATAAGCTGCTAGAAGGCTTAGAACAGGATATTATTTCCTGTCCTAGCCAATATCTCCAACCTGAATTTCCTTTTTCCTACTTCTAAGTTAGACTACCTTGTTATAAACCTATGAATCCTTATAAACTGTCTTAAATCCTCTGTGAACCAAGACAAAAGATGTATTTTCCAAAATTACATATATATATATATATATATGCATATTAAAGCTTATCATTAAACCTTCTGCCAACAAAAATATTTGATCATCTGTAAACCTTAAGAATAGCTGAGCTTAGGCTGGGCACCAATGGCTACTCAGGAGGTTGAGATCTGAGGAGCATGGTTCAAAGCCAGTCCAGGCAGGAAAATCTGTGAGATTCTTATCTCCAATTAGTCACCTGAAAACACAAGTGGTGTTGTGGTTAAAAGTGGTAGAGTGCTAGCCTTGACTGCAAAAGCTCAGGGACAGCACCCAGGCCCTGAGTTCAAGCATCAGGACTGACAAAAAAATTAGCTGTAGCTTCACTAACTCCAGTATTATATTAATACTTAAAGCAAGTTTCAAACCATATCCAGAAACTCCAGATGGCATGATGGTCCAGGTACCACAAGCACATTTCCAATAAGGCCCCAATTCTGTGCACAAGAAAGAACATAGGGTTTGCTATTGTTATGGATTTAGGGTCAAAGAATGATTAGCTTTTGGTGTATTTTCAAAATGTGTTAACGTCATGCTCATAATGGAAAGTTTGCTTTCACTTGTGCTCTATGTTAGGGATATGGAATAAGAGTGCTGGGCAGGATCCTGGCTCATAGGTACGGAGAAAAGTCTGTTTGACAGAACAAAGGTAGAGTGCAAAAGCAAAAATACTGGGTTGGGAATGTCTATCAGTGATAGATTGCTTGCCTAGGCTGAGTGAGGTCCTGGGTTCTATTCCTAGTATGGTAAAACAAAGAAATAGCTAAATAAGTAAAAAGCATTTAGAAAGGAAATTGTACAAATACTGAATGGTTTAACCCCCAACTTATATTTTGTTAATCTCCAACTTATGCTATTCAGCTGCCACAAGACAGAAATTTCTCTGGTCAGACTCATTTAAAACACCTTCGCTTCAAATGTTGACCAGCTAATTTTTTTCCTTAAGTGGAATATAACTTCCAAATCCCATTAAAGTGAACACTTCTCACTGCATAAGTTAAAAATCTCACTAATCCCACCAGGCTCCACAAACTAGATGAAAACAGAGCTGAATCTCTCCTGTTGGACCCTCCACACACACTGTACCAAGTAACCCTTCCTTCTGGGCTCAAGGAAAAGGTCCACACAGGAAACTGAGCTTTGACTTCAAGGTTTATGAAGCTCATTTGAATCTTGGATGACAAACTGCCAGAGGAGGGAAGAGTGGGTGTAAAGAAACAGATGGGTAATAATCATGTGTCATAGATAAATGACATTTTTAAGGGAATTTGATAGGGTGTGGGCTGGGACTCTTTTTTTGTGGGCAATGTTTATTTATTTTTGGCAGAGGGTGGAGATGAGGTTTTAGAATAGGAAGGAGGAGAAAAAGCAAGACAATAGACCAGACAAGCGTCTGACCAGCATCCCAAAGCAGTCTGCTCCTCCCTCCCTTCCCTACAACCCCAGGTAGCCTGTGGATGAGATTTTCAAAACAAGCAGGGGACAAAAAGGAGAGAGAGAGGGAGAAAGAAAGAGGGAGGGAGGGGGAGAGAGGAAAAAAAGAAGACACTGCCTCCTGAACTGAAGGTAGCCTCCTCTCTGGTGGCAAGAAGGAGAGATGGAAGCTAAAGACCAGTAACATCTCCTCAGGCACAGTAGCCTTCACCCCCCTCCTGCCCCTCCCAAATGGTAGAATCACATACAAATTCAAGCCATGGGGGCTGCTCATGTGCCAGTCGCCCCAGCGAAATGTGGGCAAACCGCACGCACCACACCTGCTCCGCGTGCGCCCCTGCGCCCTGGGGTGGAGCACTGGCCTCCGGGAGAATGCGCCCAGCCCAGGCTGGACCGAGCCCACAGCACCGCTCACCAGGAGGGCGGAGGCCAGCCGAGCTGGAAGGGAAGGAACGATTAGGGAGGGGTGGCCCGCAGCCTGGCAGGGCAGATCAGGATCGAGGTAAAAGCAACATCCCATCGGCCCCATAGGGGGCCCTGCATTTGCAGCCCCAGGTTCCAAAGAGCTCCACGTTACACGGTCATCGCCAAATGTAAATCACTCGCCGCACAGCCGGGCTGCACCACCGATGCGCACGCACACAGCCCTTCTCCCGCTGGACCAGCGAGCAGTGGGATGCTGACCGGTCTCCAAAGCTATTCACCGCCGCCGCCGCCACGGCCCCTTCCCAGGACGGCCTTACCTCCAGCACGCCGCCGTCTCCATCTCCGGTCTGCCTCTGCAGGTTGGCGAGTGTTTCTGTGGCGTTGGGGAGGGAGCGGGGCGGGGTGAGGGGGTGCGCTTCTGGAGTCCGCCCGCTACTCTGCAGAGCAGCGTTTCCCACCCATCCCGCAGCCTCCCGGGTCAGATCTGCCCGGAGCCCCGCAGCGGAGCAACTCCAGCCCTCCTCGCCCGTGGGTCGGAGGGAAGTACTGCGCGGAGGCTGCCACTCCTTGACAAAAGGCTGCAATTCCCGCGCCTCCGTCCCTCACCGCCCTGCAGTCAGAATTAAATCCATTTCCCGCAGGAGGCTGGGAGGAAATGAGAGCTCTGGGCTGTGCGCGCTGACAAAAGGCAGCCCGGCAGCGCCCACAGCGCCCCCTCTAGCGGGCCGCGGCTGGCGTCCAGCGCTGCTGCTGCGGCTGCTGCAGTGTCCCCGCCCGCCCGCCCGCCCGCCCGCCCGCAATGCCACTGCCCTGATGCCGCAGACCCCGCGCAGCCCTGGGCCACGTCCACCTCGTTCCGCACAGCTCGCTGCTCAAAACCCAGCGCCTGCTGGCGCGAGGGCCCATTAGTGGGGAGAACACAGAAGTGGGGTTTTTGCTCAAGCCTGTCCCATCCAAGGATTTTTAACACAAAACAAAGTCATATTTGAGAGGTGGGTATTTTTTTTTTTTTTTGGAGGGCAGGGCCAGGTCTGGGAAAGACATCTTACAAAGATAACTATTAAGTGATGTTAAGTGGTGGCGGTGCTCTGAACTCCAAACCAAAATTCTCCTTGTTCTAATTCTGACTCCATTTCCAACTAGGACAAAATTTCTGTGGGGGCCCTGCCTGCCGTTCCAGGCTGTGGGCTCAGCTGGCTCCCCAGGCCCCTTCCCCTCCCTCTGCTCTCTTAGGCCACAGAGATACCGGTGAGGCGAGTGGGTAGCTGAATGGGGTGCTAGCTCCTGGCAGCACTCAGACCTGCTGTGTGACCTTGACGAAGCCATCCAGGCCCCTAGGCCGTGTTGTCTGCCCCCAGAAAATGACTATGCACTTGAGTTACCTAGGCTATTTTGTGAGTTTTCGGATGGTAATTTTCTACGCCTGACTCTCAGCGAGAGGGATGTCCAGCGCTTTCCGTCTCCATAACCTGCACCAGCTCTCCAAATCTCCCCCAGATCACCTTTGCCCTGCCTGCCTTGCTCTGTCTTGTACGGGTTCTCACTACATAGCTCAGGCTGGCTTCCAATTCAGACAGCTCCAGCCTCCCAACTGCTGGGATTACAGGGGTGGACCACCATACCAGGCCTTCTAAATGTTTTGTTTGAGGTAAAAGTGTCCAGACAAGTCTTCCAAATTAAACTACAGCCCTTCTTCTCCTTCTGGGTTTTTCAGCATCAAAGCTTTGAGATAATTTTTGTGCATAAGACATAAACTCACTGAACTCCATCACAGTGCTGTTAGGCAACCAGAATCTCTGAAATAAAATTTTAATGCCCTATTCTTTTAGCATTTAAGAGTTATCTCTGAGAGCTACTTTTGATTTAGAACAGAGAAAATGCTATCACAACCACCCTGGAACACCTGGCTAGCGTTTGGTTCCAGATGCCATGGAAGATTTGATCTTTCTTAGTCCCTCTTCATTACTACCCTGACATACCCATGATCCCCTCCATCAGAATCCAGAGTTGATAAACCTTCCTCCATTCTCTACTTGGAAACTTGTAGACAGTAACAACTAGCACAACAGCGCAAGGTGAAACTCATTCCCTTTTCCAGCCCCAGGACCTGAAGCCTGGTAGCCAAGGAAATCTGTAAGTTTATTGAGACTCTCCTGAGGGGCTGGCTATATCATCACTGACGCCAATGGTGATGGATTCTGAAGTCAGCTATTGTGGGCCACACCTGTAATTCCAGCTGCTCAGGAGGACCACAGCTCAAAGCTAACTTAGAACAAATGTTAATGTGAGACACTGTATTACAAAAAAAAAAAAACTAAACTAAAAACATAATGACCACAAAGGCTCAAAGAATAGAATCCTTGCTTTCCTGACTCCAAACTCCCATAAAAAGATCTGGGGAGCTCAATATGCTTCTCCAATGTGTAGAAATCACAGGTAGACTATTCCTCAATAGAACTCCAAAAAGGAATAGAGACATTTTGTTTAGTTCTGAAATAGCAGGTTTCATAAATCCTTCCAGTCATCTCTATCACTCAAAAATTTTCTCTTCCTAGTTAGTATGTTACTTCTCAAATAATAGCAAACACTCATTAGCCTCAGGCACTGTTCTGAAAGCTTTACCGGCATTTTTATTTAATTCTGTAGTAGCCAGGTGCCGGTGGCTCACACCTGTTATCCTAGCTACTCAGAAGGCTGAGATCTGAGTATCCAGTTCAAAGCCAGCCCAGGCAGGGAAGTCCACAAGACTGTTATCTCCAATTAACCATCAGAACACTAGAAGTGGCACTGTGGCTCAAGTGGTAGAGTGCTTGCCTTGAGCTGAAGAGCTCAGAGACAGTGCCCCAGTGTTCAAGTCCCATGACCGACAAATAATAATTATTCTATGGCAGTAGTTATTATTACAAACTCCATCTTACCAATGAAATATGGCACAGAAAGGTAATTTGCCCAAGGACTCACAACTATAAGATGATAGAGCCAGGTTTCAAACTCAAGCACTGTATCTCTAGAGTTTATGGATCCTGACTGCTGTGCTATATGGACTTCCCACAGAGGGAGGACAAGAAAATAGTTCTCTCAAAGAACAGATAATGTGACAAGCAGAAACATTTTCCTTTACTCCAAAATGATTCTGTCCCTCTAGCCATCACAGATTTTCAAAATTAAAACACACACACACACACATACACACAAATGTGTTCTGTTTCTAACAACTCCAACTGAACACTGATGCTGAGAACAGAGCTGTCCTGTGGCTTTAGGAATTGTTCAAATGACAGGCAAGAAACAAAACTTCCTTTAGTTCTACATTAGTGGTCTTACATTGGAGTTCCAAAATCCCCACCTCATTGAATTCCAACTGAAGGAAGTATAAAGGCTAACTCCACTCAATTTTATCAAACACTAACCTAAAAGATTAGGCGCCAAAACAATAGTGGGAGATTTAATATCCTATAGTATAGATAAAAAATTTAGCATTTACATTCCGTCTAACAGCGACACAACATATACTATTCCATAAAACAAGTCTCAACAAATTAAAAAAAACTTGAACTTATATCCTGTTTATTTTCTGATCATAATGGAATAAAACAAGAACAATGAAATTTTAGAAATCGTATTGTATATATGCATGGAGCCAGAACATATTCTTGAAGGATCAGTAGATCACTGAAGAGAAATATAAATTTTTACCAAATACATGCAAATGGTGGTACATGTCTATAATCCCAGCATGTAAAAGGTTGAGGCAGGAGGATTCTAAGTTCTAGGCAAGTCTGGCCTATATGAAAGGAGAATGTCCATCCTTTCCTGTCCAACCATTGTATTTTGGAAATACATATGTCTGCTTTTATAGATCACAGCTGGGGAATCATTTTTCCTCTGGATAGGAACCATATTTTAATTCTTACACATACCTTAGATGATATTTAGATAGGGCTTTGCCTTAAAATTTCAGATTTAGTGATACTCACTGGACATTATATGGAAAATGAACTATACAACTTGTGGGTGGGGATTGGAGGGAAAAACTGGGAAAGAGCAAGGGAAGGGGGGACATCCAAAAAAAAGTATTCTTTACCTGACTTATGTAACTGTAGCCCCTCTGTACTGTACATCACCTTTATGATAATAAAACTATCTCTGCATTAAAAAAAGACCTTAGATTTGATTTCAGAATGAGTTAATGATTTCATGCTGTTGGCATGGAATCAAAGTATGATAGGTCATGAATTTGGGGGAAGGTAAGTGGCAGAATACTCCAGACTAAATTGTGTTTTTTCAAAATTCATAGATACTAATTCCAATGTGACTACACTTACAGTATCTTTTGGGGGGCGCGGAGGAGTGGTGCAGAAGGGACACCCTGAGTCTTGAATTCAGGGCCTAGGTGCTATCCCTGAGCTTTTTTTTCTGAAGGCTGACATTCTACCGCTTGAGCCACAACTCCAGATCCAGCTCTTTGGTGGTTAATTGAAGAGTATCACAGTCTTGCCGGACTGGCTGTGAACTGCAATCTTCACATCTCAGCCTCCTAAGCTAACACTTGTTAAGTGTAGCCACTGGCTCCTAAGTTACAGTATCTTTTAATTAAGGACAAATCAAGTCCTAAGGGTATAGCCCTAATCCCTATAAGGTGCGTCTTTATAAAATGGTAGAGACCAGACCTAACCAAGTCCTTACTCTATAAAGACATGGGGAGAAGGCAGACATCTTCAAGCTAGGAACAACAGACTGTAAGAAACCAAACTCTGTCCTTGATGTTGAATTTCCTGATCTTTAAAATGACAATTCTGGTATTAAGTCACCTAGTCAATGGTATTCATTATGCTAGACTGAGATAATATACTTGTTGAGTCTTCCTATATGCAAGAGAAATGATTATACCCATCTATTTAGGACTGCAATAGGAAGAAACACAAAGCGAAGAGTGCAGACCCAGTTTATATGAGGTACCAGGTCTTTGTGAGCAACTATCAAAGGCCAACACTTTCCTAATGCTCAATGTGCTTGGGGCCATTTGTCCTTAGCTGGGCATTTAGAAAACCTTGAAAAATTTTGCTCTTTGAGCCAATGCATCCAACTCCCCACCTTTTTAAACCCTATATTCCAATTAAAGGTTAATTTCTTAAATTTTACTCTTATTCCTCAAAGTGAAGAAAACCATGAAATAAAAGATGTAGTAGGTATAGTCCTGAAAATATTAAAATGGAAATCCTTTCAGAGGTTGGCAGCAAAGGCTGAAGTCCTCAAAGTCTAGTTTTTCCTCTCATTATGCACAAAAATGGAGTTGAGTGAATGTGACAGGCAGGGCCATTTGAAGAGTAAATATAAAGTTTGAATTATTGTAATAATTTTTATTTTTAAAAAAGACTTCATATAAGATGATTTCTTTGTTGCTTTGTATGCCCTTCCCCCACGGTATAACCCCTGCTTTCACTGTATTTGATGTTGGTATAATTTGGGGAGGTGAAGGGAAAAAACAAATTGTTTAAATAGGGATACAGGTGGACTCATTGCAACAATGAGATGTACAAGACGTT